GCAGAATTTTGATAAGTTATCAGTTATCATATTAGTTAGGTATATGCATAGGCATGCGCAGATTCTTTTCGCAATGTATGCCGGTGTTTTTAAACCCCTATAGGACCACAAAAAGGCTAACCCGATATGAACCACAAAAAAAGCGTGTTTGTGATGTCGAATGCGGATGGCAAGACGGATATCGTGGGTAGCGAAGAGGCAATATTGAGACTGGCTAGGTAGTAATCGTGGTTGGCATAGTGGCAACAAGGAGGGGCACGTTGAAGGAGGTGTTGGGTAGCAAGGTGGCGACGGCGAGCGTTGCTTGATCGGGTACATTCATCCAAAATATGCCAAGTACTAGCGGCTGTGTCGACGGAGGACGGCGGATCAGTGCTTTCCGAGGCCGTAAGTATGGTAAACGGTCACTTTGTACTGTCCATTGTTTAAAATGCATAACGCGGACACTTTGTACTGTCGGGTAAAAAGGTACTTTACAGAATACGGGAACTTTGTATTCTTATATACATAACTCATAAGGTGTTTATTGTAAATATATGAAATATAATGACTTATTGACTTGTGGTTTTGAGATATTTCAATATTATACGTATACCATACATGAAGTTTTTAAAGATTTTTTCAGTATTATATTTTATTTGTCATTTTGACATATTTATATTGTACACATTTTTACTTAACTTAAACATAACTTTTGATAGTATAATACATTTTTTTTTTTTTTTTATTGATCTTTTAAAGCCCGGCGACTATGGCCATTAGCTGATTAGTATAATACAATTAAGATTTATAGTCATATTATTGATTATTATTAATGAACAATATTTTATAACAATTTAGTTTTTATTTTTAAATTTTAATAATTTATATTATACCTATGTTATACTACTTATATTAGGTACCTATATAACTTATATTATATACTTTATGTATATAATAATACAAAGTGTCTGCGTTCTAAAAATTAAAATGAACATTTTCACTGGACCGCACGTCCGCACGAAGTGTCCGCGTTCTGCAATGTACCCTTTTAGCTGACCGTACAAAATGTCCGCGTTTCGCACTTTTAATGCTTGACCGTACAAAGTGACCTAGAACCCGTAAGTATTATTACATTACCTTTACCCTTAGACTTACCGCGGCCCATCTTTATCCCCAAAATATATTTTTTTAACTCATCTAATAAAGTTTAAAAAAAAAAAATAATATTGTAGGTAGGTAGGTAAATATATATAGTAGGTAAATTATTATTAATAATTATAAAATAAAGTTGTTCTCAACTTTATATTACGAAAAATTACTATAAATAATGAACTATGTTTGCCAACAATTTTGTTTTTTTGATAATTTTAGATTATCGATTTAACTATTATATAAGTATATGTACAAAAAGGTAGTTACAAGCAAACATTTTTTAGCTCTTGTAAATTAGGTATTTCAGTTAACTGCAGTATTAATGCATATTACTATACAAAACTTTAGAGGACCATAGTTAATAACCTAGCGTTCTGGCGAACCAAAATTGATCATTTGACTGTAAAAATGTTCAGAAAAAAGCTTTGCCAGAATCCATAAAAACAATTTTATTATTGGTAGGTACAACTGCGGGTTTAAAAATGTTGTAAGAAAATCGCTTGTTAAAAATAAAGGAACACGTCTTTTTTTTGTTTTAACGAAATTCCATTTCATATTTTCATTGATCCATAATTGTTAAAAAGAAACCGTCTTCAATGACATAAGATACACCCTGTATAATTTTTGTATAGTAAAAAATTATACAGTGATATAAAGTCGTTAATATGTAATGATACAATTATTTTGAAGTTAAAGTTGAAAGGGGACCCACTAAGTGTATGGTGTCCCGGGGCCTAATTGATCCTTAATCCGGGCTTGCGAGTACTATATATTATTATGTACTATCGTACGACATTTAACCTAATTTTGAATTAACTTTATTTTAACATATGAAATATTGAATTTTATTGGTTTTTTGTGAATCATTATTCTTAAAATAATGTTTCCATATTTATGTATTAACATTTATACTTGTACTATATAGCTGTATTGCCCGATTATACTGGATGTATCTCAGTTTTAGTGTACCACATTTCAAGAGCAAATCGGCGAGGGGTTTGGCGTAGGTACATCACTATTTATGGAATAATTTGACATATATACGGGTAACCACAAGTCATTGATTAGATTTAGTGGTTGGTACCTACCTATATTATTTTTAACGTAATTAAAATTACTCTCAAAACGTTTATGATATCTCTAAGAATAATCTCTGAAATTTTCGTCAAAATCAGTCCTGTAGTTTTGGAATATTTTTTAAGATATAGTTTCTTTAATCGTGGCCATGTAAATACGACGATTTGATTCAATGTTTTACCTCATCTGCCCGAGTAACCAAAGACAACTATAAATATACACACAAAAATATTCATTTCTACTAATTTGCTTATTAATATTATTATTAATTTATTAATATTACTATCTGTAACCAATACCTAGTAACCATTTATAAATAAAAAAAAGTTGTAATCCATCGTGAAACTCAAAAATCCTTGTGTGATCACTTTTTACAAAGAGAATTTTGGAAAATTCTTACTTATAATAGTTCACCCTTACATGGTGATACGAAGATGCCTAGAAAATGTCAAGTGTCTAGCTATTATAATAATATAATATTCAATATAGATCAAAAATAGTAAATTGGTGAGAGCTAAAATAATTGTTTACATTGAATAATACCTATTAATATAAATTATAATTTTATGCAAACATGCAGTCAATTTGTGTTTTAAATATTTTCTTTCGTTTTTGAATGATAAATAAATTGGGTGGGTGGGTAAAAAAAATTAATTTTTTGTTTATTTTATCTGAGATAATTTTGCCGCCCCCAAAGTGTGCCGCCCCCGGGCAATTGCCCACCGGTGCCCCCCCTTAAAACTAGCCCTGGTTATTAAGATAATATATTTCATAGCACGATGTAGAGAAGAGAAGGTGATAACACTTGGCTTGACCAGGAGAAAAAAAGTGGCTTAGTTTTCGACGGCAAATTTGTAGTTTAAAAAATATCCACCGGGAGCACCACAAGCTTCGAAGGGCGGGTATTTGAATAATTTTTTTAGACACTATATATATTTTAGATACATGTGTATTGTGTTTTATTGCAATGAATGAATGAATAAATATTGTATTTATGATGGAAAATAACTGTGTGTACCTACGTTTATTTATTGGTATTTCAATAAGATAATTTTAAAGTATGATGTTCATATTGCAAAATCTTTTATTGCCTTATGAAATACCTACTCTTTTTTAAGTATAACGGGCTAATATTTTAAGCTTCATTATATTTTGTCTATTATTATAATAAGTAATAACACAAATACACAGTACTATTTAGTATCATTATTCATTACTATTGTCAGATTACCTTTTGGAAACAATAATTAATAACTATAATCGTAAATCGTACAGTTCTAAGATAAAAAAAACCGGAGGAATAAATTTAATGTATTAATCACAGCGATATTCAAAAAGGAAACTCAACTGGAAATATTGAGAATCACTGATATGTATTAAATTGTTAAAACCACTCAAACAAAACATTTACGATTTACCACCACTGTATCACACTATCACCATTTTATATATTAACCGTGTATACATGAAATATAATATGAAATAGGTACAAAGAATAATACAGACATTTATAAATTCCACCCGATATTTAATCTCTATACGGTATCTCTATGCTCTATCAGTGGCGCAACTAGCGGGTAAGTTAGCAAATTGAAACATTGGTTTTTAGTATTTTTTCACATTTTATAATTATTATTATTACCTATATTTTTTATAAACATCTATATTAAAATGGTTAAACTATAATTACCTATACTGATATTTTAATAGTTATTGTTAAAAGCCTATGGATTACTTTTATTACACTACGAGTTATTGATTTAATAATATTATAAAATCGTTACCATGGATTAATGGAGGCCAAGAATAGTGTTCTAAAATATATACATCAATCAACAGCCTACTCGTATTATTATTATAACAGAGACTTATGTTAAATCAATGTGAAAATAATGTTTAACAATACATCTTTTTAGAATTACATTTGATGCATGTATCATAAATATATCATAAATGGGAATTTCCACTGGCACCCGAATATATGTATAATATCAGTTAACATTACCTATCAATTATCAGTATAAAATATTGTGCGTTGCAGTGTTTACAGTCTCGACTCTTGAGTCTTGACATTTATTTAGTTGTGCCTTTCGCGTGTGTGTTTAAGTTATACGTTATAATAAATAATTATATGAATATAATATGATAAAATCAATTTTAATGATACCTACGTATATATTTATTCTATTTTAGTATACGTGTTTTTCACGAGCAATGGACTATGGTAATAGTATCTATATATTAGCTACGTTCTAAGGGCGAAAAAGCGAATTTATAAAAGATTTATTAGACTTAAATTTCTTTATTAGGATAATATTACCTATTTTCTATTTACGTAATCGTGAAGTATTTTTAAGTAGTTTATTTGTGTGATATCAGTATATTTTGTATAATTATTATGTCGACACGAAGAGTGTATGAAAGTAGTTTTGCTAATCTCAAGGTAAAAGAACAAAGAACCACCAGTTTGGATATAATGAGTCAAATATCAAAACTTTTCTGTATTTTTTTAATAAATTATGTCATTGAACTGTAGGCAAAGATGATACGTATGTATAAAAATATACTATACTTCAATATATATTTTATATTGGCACATCTGAATTGCATTAGATCATATTACGTGGTATATAAACTATCAAGAGTTAATATTCTCTACTATTGTATTTCTCAATATTTTGTAGAACGTTTTGTAGATGATTTTTTACAAAAAACTAGAAATATTAATAGGTACTTATTCTATTTTATAAATTTATAATATTGAAAAATATCAAGTCCCTGTAACACAAATGCTGAGTGAAAAGCAGGATACACTAACCATCTTTTATTGGTTAGGACAGTTGTTAAATGATGGAGTTTCAATTCCCCAAGAAGTGGTTTGCGATTGGTCCAAAGCATTGTTGGGTGACATTACCAGGGCTTTTTGCAATGGACTTTCGTTACATGATTGTGTAAACAACTGTATGGCTGCATTAAATGGAAATAATTCAGCAAGACCCGTTTGCTACTTACGAGTTGATGTTGCTCATTTAATCAAGTTGGTATGTAGGTGGACGTGTTGGAAAGGCAAGCGAACAATCAGATTAAAGGAATGTTATGTATGATGTACTAGACTACTTATCAAGTCTGAGTCTATATTTGAATTCAAAAATATTCTCATAGATATTTTGACTGTACAGTTCTGCTTTAAAAAAATCAAGTCCATTATCACCTGTCATTTCAGACAATAGAAAAAGAAGAAAAGATACCAGTTAGTTATATATTTATATTAAAATATTATATCATTTTCATTTTCATTTCTATTTTCATAATTTAACGTGTGTACTAAAATCAATTAGGGGATTGTCCCTCATGTAATCTATATCACAAGTACCTGAACTCGTTATTAGATTCTGAGTGGAACGATTAATGTATTTTTTTTTTATTTTTTTTTTATCATTGTCATAATTTATTGCTTTTACAGTTCACACGATAGAAAATTAACCTTTTTATACCTATTCTATTTGATATGTGTCTAAATCGTAGATACAGACTTGATTAATAACATTTTGGACTTTTGACATTTCAATCGTTATGTTGTGTAAGTACCGATACTCAAGACGAAATAGTATAAAATATCAAAACACAGTGTTTTTTTTTATATACCTGCCTATTTACAGGTTGGTTATCTGCACTAACTCGTCAAGTACATATTTTTATTTTCAATTCACGTTGCACATTAAGTCTAGTTGTCGACGTGAAAAGTTGACATCCAGTTTGGTATACCTATCGACTATCGGTTACCAAAAACATCGTGTTTCTTTAGTGTTACACTTATTTTTATACAACAAATTCATCGTGTCTCTAAGTCCTTGGCGAGTAACCGCTCAAATGTATAATCTTATAGTACCTAGGTATTTAACGCTTTTGACGATATTACCCAAAAATCATAATAATCTTTCATCAAAGTTTAAAATATATACGGAATAGGTACCTATATTTACCAAAGCAAATACCAAAAATTCTGAATAATTAGAAACTATAACAAATGCGTCTTTTTACCCCGTTATTGGGGTAAAAGTGAGCACCTAATGGGGTAATAGGACGCATGCTAAATTAATTCATAAAAATCTATTTTATTAAAGAATGTTATCTATTTTATTTTTATCAAATAATAAGTTATAAATATATATAATATGCATGCATAATATAAAAGTGCCTAATATAATATATAGTTAATACAGTATTAGTAATAAATAATAAGTCGAAGTAATTTTTTTAAGTATAATTATTCAATAAATATTACATAATATTATTTAATCATATGTTGATACATCGTAGATATAATGTACCTATTAGTTTAAATGAATTAATAAATAAATAGATATAATTAATTCAATTTCTAATTTTTCCATATTTTGTCAATTTTTGAACTTTAAATGCTTAAAAAAAAAAGTTGTGACTAAGGATTTTTAATATTTTTCATCTGCCTTTTAAACAATATATTAGGAGCCTTCTATTAAATTTTCAAGCTTTTGCAACCAACAAATAAAATTTTATTGATATTTTTAGAAAGAAAACTAAAAAAAAATGGAAAATGAAAATGTCCCTAAACAGTTCAAAATAAATCTAAATATTTTGACAATGTTATCATGTATAGAAAATTAAAATATAAACAACCAGTGAAAATTTCATGTATATACGTTCATTTGTTTTAGATTTACACCAAAAATCAAAATCGATTTTTTGGAAAAAGCATGTTGCGTAAAAATTCCCTCTTTTCCTTAATTTTTATGTTGTTTTTCCCGCCGCTTGTGAAAACTAATGGGAAATTTTGACCCCCCAAAGTACCAACAAGATTTACTTTCCTATCAGAAAAGCTACTGTTGAAGAAAATCCAAGCCTTTTTACTGTCCTAAAAGTGATGACAGACACAAAAAAAAAATTTTTAAAAAATTTAAAAATTTAAAAAAAAACACACATCATTGTAAAATCAATACATTCATCGTTTCACTCAGAATCTAAAATGTGAAAAGAAAAAAAATTGCAATTTCATATAAATCCACGCTTTAATTTTTACATTCAATTTTGCTTTCTTTTGTTTTATTTAATTATACCACACAGTGGTACCAGGTGTCGTGCATGCTTTTCAAAAAACAATTTTTTTCTTTACAATCAGCCTGTATTCTCAATAAATAAATAATATTTTTGTAGGTTAATTCATATAGCACTCAGCAGACATCAACTCGTGCCTATTCTATTGTAGACAGAAATCAAAGCATAGCTGCCCAGTGCTATAGTTCGGTATTTATTTTTAAACTTTCTTAATTTTTTTTTTCTCCACTTATTCCTCACCCTGAAATACTCAATAAATTGTATGTAGTTCAAAGCTCAAGCTCTAAACTATTTTTTATTTTATAATTTTGTCTCCATTAAAGAAATAACCTTCTTGTATTTTTTTTTAATACAAATAATTTGTATAAAATAATGGATAAAAAATTATTGTAATTTCTCAGTTGGTAATTCAAACAATTAACATTTTTTTTTTACACGTTTTTGTTGACTAAAAGTAATATTGATAAATTAATAAATAATAATTATTAAATAAATTATATCGCTTTTCTTTTCTTTGAAATTGTTTTAAAATTACGAGTCCAGCTTTTAATATGTTGGATCATTTTATAATTTAATATATTTTGATGCTTCATTAAAATTAATTTAAAGTTTAATAAAAGTATTGACTACAGCAAGTTTTGCATGTGTGATGTAACAATTAATTGTTTGAATTTAATAGTGGGTATTAATATTACATTGTGGGTTATCTAATAAATATTAGTAAATTAACAGTTTTTTATACTTAGTTTTTATTTGATTTTCAGGGTTCAACGGTGTCTCAAGGCAGCAGTTTGGTAAACAGTGAAGGTCATGTTGTACCACCACTGCCTTTAGTCCGTGCAGGCAATACGACACCAGTAATTGAAACCATTGACTTATCGTCCCCACTAGTGTCCCTTTGACGAATGGACGTACGAGGCACCGCGGCCACTGGGGGGAGGGGGGCACATCGACGTACTTAGGTATGCGAGCGAACACGGCTGTCTCTTGTTCAAGCATAAGAACATTAAGAACCGCCTTACATCTATGTTAAGTATCTTAAGATGCTCAATTTTTGATGACACACAAGTAGTAGAAGATGGATTCATATTCCGAAATAAAAGCACCAGAAGTGCCAGATGTACCGAGCTTCGTCAGAAACTTGTATATTTATTTACCAATTTAAACAAAAATATATAAGTAATCAGGAGTTTTCATATTTCGCTGAACGGATGATTGTTTTATTTTGTTTGGTTTGACTATACCTTATGGGATACTACACAAGTACAACTGTATGAATCATCACTGAGTGAATTGGCAACATTCAAACATGTTAATTTAGATAATACTTTCTTAATTTAAAATAATAACGCGAGTAGGTATCTGGTATATGAAAATTTGATTGTCAACTTGTAAAATAATTAATTAATTAGTTGTTTATATATTTAAACTTTTGTATTCACCAAAAAAAAAAAATTGGGATATATTAAATAAATTAATGTTGTTATATTTTGAGTTTAAAAAGATGTAGAAATCTCTTGGAGTCTTATTAGAGATCACATACTCACGTCTCACATATAATATTATAAAAAAGTTTAGCGTAAACCCACATTACTATGTTATAAATAGGTTATAATAGATAAAAATATTCATACACACTTATTAATTATTTGAGAAATCTGTATAAAGATTATAATATATTACAGTACAATCATATTTTTTATCCATATTTAATTAAAAAGTGTTCAGATTAAAATATACCGAGTATAGGTAGCATAAAATATAAATTTGTATTCGATTGTGTCTACCCATATAGTTGAAACATGTATAAAAAAGTAGAAACATGTGGGCATATGTATATTAATTACATAATATTATGTTACAATGATGCAAGTCAAAATTATGTGTTTTTTTTTTAAATTTTAAATTTGAATTTTTTTATTTTTTTCTAACGGAAACGACAATAATGATTGCGTCATCAAAAATATTTGGTGCAAAATTTATGAAAATGGGACAAAAGAATTCTGTCGATGTTAAACAATTTCACAAATAATATTTAAATATATATATGAAAAAAGTGAGAAAGAGTTAAAAAATTAAAAAACATTGAGATAAATAGTGAAAAATAGTGAGAGCGTGGCATGAGTGTTCCTGGAGGTATAAAAGAAAGGCCCTATAAATGCGACTTCTGCACTTTACCAATATTCATAAAGATTCAGTGGTACTTAAATAGTTTTAAAGTTAAACTTAAACAAATTTTTATTTTTTATGTTGTAAAATCCCAGATATTATAAATCTAAGACAAATAGATTGTATTTTTTAAATTTAAATCCCAATAAAAAAACTCGGTAAAAATAAATTAGGTATATAATATACTTGGATATTGTGATATAATTATGTATATTATGAAATTGAAGGCTAGTGGTAATTTATAAATGTATTACAATTCAACTTTTATTTTACAATAAAGACTAGGTGGACATATTATTTTATTTGAATTGTTAATGTTAAATATTTTGAGTTTATTATTACTTTTTTTTTTAAATTTAAAGTTTTAGTTAAGCAAACGGTAAGTTTATTTATGATGTTGTATCTACTATTTTATTATATATTTATATTTGATAGAAGAGCCAATAAAAATAATACAATATTCAAAATAAAAAGGAATAATATTTAATTTGACTCTATACAGTTTTGGTCAATTTATAAAACTTTGTAAGCATATTATGTTAAAATTAATGTTTTAAACAAGTTGTTTGAAATATAACAACCCTGCTTATTATTAAAAAAAAGTACTCTATGTGAAACCAAATAAACTCACATTTGACACCAACATAAATATTAACAATAACATATTTTGCACTAAATTAATAATTTTTTAGGAATGACCAAAGTCCAAATTATGTTTTAGATAAGTTTATTGCACATTAAAAAACCTACCTAATCTACCAGAGTTATGAGAAAATATTAAAAATAATAAAATAACAAAATGCGGATGTAGTTACAGTTTATATAATACACAATAATAACA